AATCGAATCCGGATCGCCTCGATGGCAACGGGGCGTTCTATCATTGGAAAGCGAAAATATGCACCTGGGCGCTAGGTCCGCTCCAAATCGCAGAGGCCCAGAAGGCAAATATGCACGGGTACACAATAATTCGGGGCCGCTTTAGCTCAGTCGGTAGAGCGCAAGACTTTTAATCTTGCAGCCGCGGGTTCGGGCCCCGCAAGCGGTTTCACTACGGGGATCGGCGGATGTATCGGGTTTCGGTTGATGCAACACGCAGAACAGAAGTCCCGAGTTGACAGAACTCGCAAAGTGACAGCCGTGAATCCCAGCCGCCTGGATTCTATCAATTTTGGGGAACCCGAATGAGTTTTCGGCCACGTAACTGCCGAGCTGTTCTGTGAATCGAACCCAGGACTTCTTCCACCATGGAAGAACCATGCCACTTGACCAAACAGCCAACTGCTTTGCTGTCAATTTTGGGGACCCGAACGACGTCACCCATTCTTCTACCCGAAGGAAGAATTGTGTCGCTGGACCAAACAGCCACCCACATAACGCCTATGTTGGACTGTTGTTGCCATCCGGGAACGGGCCACCACTGTTCTCACTTACCCACGGGATGGCGGATTTGTCCCGTGTAGTCCAGGCGGCTAGGTTGTACGGCTCCTGACGCCTTCTATATGCACGGTGTTCGTTGTCCGAGATAGTGGTCAGTATTTCCGTCTGTCACGCGGAAGACCCGGGTTCGATTCCCGGTTTCGGAGAAAGAGGGTCAGGACACAACGCAACTCCTTACACACAAACCTATCTTTTTTTGGGCGGTGGTTCGAGTCCCACTCCTGTCAAAAATTTCTGAGCGTTGGTGCTATCTCTTCTGTCTGTGCGGGTCGGAGCCGTCGGACCGGAGCCAGGCGACTCGGTTAAACGGTTCTCACCCGTGCGACCCGGGTTCGAATCCCGGCAGTGGATGTGCTCGCGGGGGACTTTTTCTCGCAATATAAAGGATGATGAGGAACAAACGGTATTCAGTTAACTGGA